CCCTCCCCATCCCCCCCTCCCCGGAGCCTCCGCGCAGCCGCGGAGCCGCCGCCGCCCCCCAAAAAAATCCCAAAAATTCCCCCCCAAATCCCAAAATATTCCCAAAAAATTCCCAAAAAATTGAAGGAGAGGTGGCCGAGGGGTGGGGAGGGGATTTGGGGGATTTCTGGGGGGGATTTTGGGGGGTTTTGGAGGGGATTTAAAGGGAGGGGCGTGGTCTCGTTGTTCCCATCCCCCTCCTCTTTTTGCCCCGAATTCCCCCAAAATTCCCTCAAATTCCCCCAAAATTCCCTCAAAACTTCCCAAAATTCCCCTCCCCCAAAACCCCCCAAAACCCCAAATTTCCCCTTCATTAATTCCCATATTCCCTATTAATAAATCCGATAATTTCTATTAATTAATTCCACATTCCTTATTAATTAAATCAAATAATTCCCATTCATTATTTCACATATTTCCTATTACTAAAACCCGTAATTCCTGTTAATTAATCCTGCATTCCCAACTAAATTAAATAGTTCCCATTAATAAATCCCATATTCCTAATTAATTAAACCCCATCATTGCCATTAATTAAATCCCACCATTCCCATTAATTAAATCCCACCATTCCCATTAATTAAACCCCATCATTCCCATTAATTAAACCCCATATTCCCCATTAATGTTTACTATTCCCTATTAATAAATCCTATATTTCCTATTAATTAACCCCGTGTTTTCCTATTAATAATTCCCATTTTCCCATTAATTAAACCCAATTACCCCCCATTAATAAATCCAGCTCCACCCTATTAATAAATCCCATTTTCCTATTAAATAAATCCCCCAAAATTCCCAATTTTCAGCTTTTTTTCCCTGTTTTAAGCTCTAAATCCCAGGAAAAAAAAAATTAAATAAATAAAATAAACAATCCCAAACCGGAATTTTCTACTTTTTTCCAATTTATCCAAAAAAAAAACCCCAAAAAGAGGGAGAAAGAAAGACCCAGAATTCCCAAAAATTCCACTGGAGAGGGATTTATTTCTGCAGGAAAAGAGCCAGGGCTTTACAGCTGGTTTTTTTTGGGAATTTTTGCACGGATCCAAGCTGGGATTTTTGGGATTTTCAGGATTTTTCCTGGTTTTCTTTTTCTTTTCCCACCCAACGGAAGCAAAAACGACAAAACCGAAAAATCTCGGAAAAAAAAAACCCCCAAAACCGTCCCAAATCCGACTTTTCTCACCCCAAACTGAAACCCCGCGGCCCCGGAAGGGCGGGAGAGCGGAATTCCGGTGGTTTTATCCTGATTTTTCCCGGGAATTCACCCCAAAAATCCGGTGGATATTTTTTTTCTGGAAGTCCAAGCGACGGCGCCGGGAAATTCCCGGGATAATCCGGACGGACACCGGGAAGGGAAACCCCGGGAGCTGCCTGAGGTTTGCTGTTAATTAATGGGTTCAGGGTTAATTAATTAACGAAGGGCTTGAGTCAAGCGGAGCCTTCGGATCGGGGGCGGATTTTGGGGAGAAAAGGGCGGGAATGATTTCAAGAAACATGCACGGGATGGGGGAGGGGCCTGGCCCGGCGGCGGGGCGCCGGCGGTGACGTCATCGGCGTCGTCATCATCATCCATTGGTGATGTCATTGGTGATGTCATCGATATCATCATCGGTGATGTCATTGGTGTCATCATCGGTGATGCCAATGGTGATGTCATCGATATCATCATCATCAGTGATGTCATTGGTGATGTCATCGGTATCATCATCATCGGTGATGTCATCGGTGTCATCATCATAATCGGTGATGCCATTGGTGATGTCATCGATATCATCATCGGTGATGCCATTGGTGTCATCATCGGTGATGCCAATGGTGATGTCATCGATATCATCATCATCGGTGATGTCATTGGTGTCATCATCATCATCGGTGATGTCATTGGTGATGTCATCGGTATCATCATCATCGGTGATGCCATTGGTGATGTCATCGTATCATCATCATCGGTGATGTCATTCGTGTCATCATCATCATCGGTGATGTCATTGGTGATGTCATCGATATCATCATCATCGGTGATGTCATTGGTGATGTCATCAATATCATCATCATCATCGGTGATGTCATTGGTGATGTCATCGGTATCATCATCATCGGTGATGTCATTGGTGATGTCATCGGTATCATCATCGTCGGTGATGTCATTGGTGATGTCATCAATATCATCATCATCGGTGATGTCATTGGTGTCATCATCCATCGGTGATGTCATTGGTGATGTCATCGATATCATCATCATCGGTGATGCCATTGGTGATGTCATCGATATCATCATCATCGGTGATGCCATTGGTGATGTCATCAATATCATCATCATTGGTGATGCCATTGGTGATGTCATCGGTATCATCATCATCAGTGATGTCATTGGTGATGTCATGGATATCATCATCGGTGATGCCATTGGTGATGTCATCAATATCATCATCATCGGTGATGTCATTGGTGATGTCATCAATATCATCATCATCGGTGATGCCATTGGTGATGTCATCGATATCATCATCATCGGTGATGTCATTGGTGATGTCATTGGTATCATCATCATCGGTTATGTCATCGGTGTCATCATCATCGGTGATGTCATTGGTGATGTCATCAATATCATCATCATCGGTGATGCCGTTGGTGTCAGTCATTGGTTTTGTCATTGGTGATGTCATTAGTCATCATCAGTGATGCCATTGGTGTCATCGTAATTGGTGATGTCATTTGGTGGCATCATTGGTGATGTCATCGGTGTCATTGTCATTTGTGACGTCATCAGTGTCATCGTAATTGGTGATGTCATTCGGTGGCATCATTGGTGACATCATCAGCGTTGTCATCATAGGTGATGTCGTTTGGTGATGTCATTGGTGTCATCATCATCACCATCAGTGATGTCATCGGTGTCATCGTCATCATCACTGTCACTGTCAGTCATTGTCACCCTCACCATTGCTGGTCATGGTCATCATTGGTCATGGTCATGGTCACTGGTCATGGTCACGTGGTCATCGTCATCATCATCCTCACCATCACCGGTCATTGTCATCATTGGTCATGGTCACTGGTCATGGTCACGTGGTCATCGTCATCATCATCCTCACCATCACCGGTCATTGTCATCATTGGTCATGGTCATGGTCACCATCGTTGGTCATTGTCACTGTCACCATTGTTGGTCATGGTCACCATCATTGGCCATCGTTATCCTCACCATTATTGTTCACCATCATTGGTCGTTGTCATGGTTGTTGTTGGTCATCGTTGTCCTCATCCTCACCACGGCTGGTCATGGTCATCATCATCATCCGTCATGGTCATCGTTGGTCATGGTCATGCTCATCTTCATCCATGGCTGGTCATGGTCATCATCATCCTCAGCATCATTGGGCATTGTCACTGTCACCATTGTCAGTCTTTGTCATCGTTGGTCATCATCATCCTCATCATCATCCTCACCATGTCTGCTCATGGTCATCGTTGGTCATCGTCATCCTCATCCTCACCATCACTGGTCATCGTCATTGGTCAGTGTCATCGTCATCCTCATCCTCACCATCACTGGTCATCGTCATTGGTCAGTGTCATCGTCATCCTCACCATGGCTGCTCATGGTCATTGTTGGTTATGGTCATCATCATCCTCACCATCACTGGTCATCGTCATCGTCACCGTCACCATCATCGGTCACTGCTGGTCATCTTCATCCATGGCTGGTCATGGTCATTGTTGGTTATGGTCATCATCATCCTCACCATCGTTGGTCACCATCATTGGTCACTGTCATCGTCATCCTCACCATCACTGGTCATCGTCATCCTCACCATTGTTGGCCATGGTCATCCTCACTGTCACCATTGTTGGCCATCGTTGGTCATCGTTACTGTGGCCATCGTTGGTCATCGTTGGCCATCCTCATCCTCACCATCGTTGCTCATGGTCATCATTGGCCATGGTCATCATCATCATCCTCATCCTCACCATGGTTGCCCATCGTTGGTCATCGTCACCGTGGCCATCGTTGCCCATCCTCACCGTCACCGTCGCCGTCACCACCGCAGCCGCCGCCCTCCCGGAGCCGGGAACGCCAGGAGCGCCAGGAGCCGGCTCCGGCCGCCCCGACATTCCCAAAAATCCACGGGAATTCCCGGTTTTCCTTCCCGCCCCCGTTCCGGGGCCGAGCAGGAGGAGGACCCGGAATAACGGAGGAGTCGCGGGATCGGGATCTGGAGTTTGTGGTGGGGAACTGTGGAATTCCATGGATTTTTGTGAATTCCCAAGGATTCCCGTGGATTTCTATGGATTTCCATGGATTCCTGAGGATTCCCGTGGATTTCTGAGGATTCCCATCGATTTTCATGAATTCCTGAGGATTCCCCTGGGTTTCCGTGGATTTTCAAAGATTCCCCCCGGATTTCTGTGGATTCCCGAGGATTTCCACAGATTCTTGAGGGTTTCCATGAATTTCCTGTGGATTCCTGAGGATTTCCATGGATTTTCGGGAATTTCCATGGATTCTTGGGGATTCCTGAGGATTCCTACAAATTCCCATGGATTCCTGAGGATTTCCTGGGGATTCCTGAGCATTTCCAAAGATTCCCGTGAATTCCTGAGGATTCCCGTGGATTTCCATGGATTCCTGTGAACCTCCTATGGATTCCCACAGATCCTGAAGATTTCCATGGATTCCCAAACATTCCCATGAATTCCCGAAAATTCCCATAGATTCCCACAAATTCCTGAGGATTCCCACAAATTCTCATGGATTTCCACGAATTCCCGAAAATTCCCACGGATTCCCGACAATTCCCAAGAATTCCCATGGATTCCCACGAACTCCTCAGGTTTTTCACAAATTCCTGAAAATTCCCACAGATTCCCACGAACTCCTGAGAATTCCCACAAATCCCCGAGGATTCCCAAGAATTCCCATGGATTCCTCAGGATCCCCACAAATTCCTGAGGATTTCCACGAATTCCCGAAAATTCCTGAGGATTCCCATGGATTCCCACGAATTCCTGGGGATTCCCACAAATTCTCACGGATTCCTGAGGATTCCCCACAAATCCCTCAGGATTCCCATGAATTCCCAAAAATTCCCGAGGATTCCCACGAATTCCTGAGGACCCCCCACAAATCCCTCGGGATTCCCACGAATTCCCGAAAATTCCCGGGGATTCCCACGAATGCCCACAAATCCCCGAGGATTCCCGCGGATTCCCGCAGCCCCCCGCCGGATCCCCGCGGGATTCCCGGGAATTCTGGGCTTCCCAAGGCACTTCACTCCGTGCGGAGGATGATGTGGATCCCGGATTCCGTGAACACGGGGCCGCTCATCTCGCCGGCCCTCAGCGCGAACGAGGCGTCCTCAAACGGCTTCTGCATCTGCCCTGCGGAAAACATTCCCAAAAAACCCCAAAACTTGGGATTTTCCGCCTTTTCCCGAAGAAAAAAAAGAAGGATTTAACATTGGGAGGGGGTTGATTCCCGGGATTTGGATCCCAGTTGGAATTCTGGGGGGTAAAGGGGGAAAAAAAAGCGTTTAAGGGAGGTTTGGATCCCTAAAAAGAAGGAGCAGGATGTGAAATTCCCGTAAAAAACTCGGATTTAGGGGCGTTTCCCACTGGAAAAATCTGGGATTTGAGGGTGGGGGAGGAGTTTATTCCAGTGGATCGATCCCAGTTGGAATTTTGGGGGATTTGGGGGGTTTTTTTGGGATGAACCCCTTGGAATTGGGGTTTTTCAGGGATAAATCCACGGGAATTCATGGATTTGGGGACTTTTTGGGATGAATCCCTGGGACTTGGGGATTTTTTGGGATGAATCCCTGGGATTTGGGGATTTTTTGGGATGAATCCCTGGGACTTGGGGATTTTTGGGATGAATCCCTGGGATTTGGGGATTTTTTGGGATGAATCCCTGGGACTTGGGGATTTTTTGGGATGAATCCCTGGGATTTGGGGATTTTTTGGGATGAATCCCTGGGATTTGGGGATTTTTTGGGATGAATCCCTCACCTCTTCCGAAAGCTCCCAGGTCCCCTCCGGCCTTGGCCGAGCTGCAGTCGCTGAACTGCGAAGCCAAAGACTCAAAATCCTCCTCTCCCGATTTTATCTTCTGGATGTAACCTGGAAAAATCCGGGAAAAATTCCCAACTTATGGATCCAAATCGCTCCAGAAACTCCCTGGATGCTGCAAATCCCACAGGAAAGGAGACAGAGCCCTGAAATATCCCCAAAAACAACATTCCTGTGTTTTTTTCACCAAAAAAATCACAATTCCCACTTTTTTTACCACTCCAAACCACCATTCCCAGGTTTTTTTTTAAAAAAACACATTCACACTTTTTTCCCCCAAATATTGCCATTCCCAAAGTTTTTTTTCCCCAAAAAAGGCAATTCAGGGAGCCTTTATCCCCCCCAAAATGGGGAAATTTGGGAAAAGAACCTTCCAGGGAAGGAATTTCGGGATGAATCCTGGGAAATCCTGGAATTTGGGGCTGAATCCCTTGGAATTCCTGGAATTAATTCCCAGAATTCCGACTTTAAAGAACCTCCAGGTCGTACAGTCGTTAATTAATTAAATGAGAGAGAAATATCCGGATAAAACGGGATTAAACCAATGCCCCGATAATTCCAAACCCCTCAGAATTCCTAAAATTCCCGGAATTCCCGGAATTTAACCCCTGACTTGCCATTGACAAGCTCCACAACACACAAATATTCCTCATCAATATGGATCAATTAATAGAATTAATATACAAATGCATATAAAAAAACCCAACAGAACCGCACATCCCCGAATCCCCAAATTCCCGGGATTTAACCCCTGACTTGCCGTTGACGAGCCGCAGAACACACCAACATCACCCAATGATGTATTGATACAGATCAATCAATCAATAATATCCATGAACATCCATCAAAACCCAACAGAACCGCACATCCCCGAATCCCCAAATTCCCGGAATTCCCGGGATTTAACCCCTGACTTGCCGTTGACGAGCTGCAGCGCCTCCTCCTTGGAGCGGGTGATGCGCTCCTGCCTCCAGCTGGACGGGCGCCGCGACTGCCGGTGCTTCACCAGGAGGTGAGAGCAGCGCACCCGGCCCGGCTCCACCCGCGAGCCCCCGCTCGGCCGCTCCCATTGGCTGGCGTTCGTCAGGTGGTTGAAGTAGTACACGCGGCCTGGGGGGGTTATTGATTAGTTATTGGTTATTGATCGGTGATTGGTAGCAAAAAAAATGGTTATTGGCACCAAAACACAATGGAAAAGCACCCAAATTGACCCCATTGGTTCGTGTTCATCAGGTGGTTGAAGTGGTACACGCGGCCTGGGGGGGGGTATTGATTAATTATCGGTTATTGCTTGGTTATTGGTTGGTGATTGGTAGCAAAAAAATGGTTATTGGCACCAAAAAACAAGTTTAAAGCACCCAAATCGACACCATTGGTTCGTGTTTGTCAGGTGGTTGAGGTGGTACACGCGGCCTAGAAAGTATTGATCGGTTATTGATTGGTGATTGGTTGTAAAAACCTGGTTATTGGCACCAAAAAACAACTGAAAAGCACCCAAATCGACCCCATTGGTTCGTGTTCATCAGGTGGTTGAAGTGGTACACGCGGCCTGGGGGGGGTTATTGATTAATTATCGGTTATTGATTGGTTATTGGTTGGTGATTGGTATAAAGAAATGGTTATCGGTAACGAAAACCAACTTAAAAGGCCCTAAAATTGACCCCACTGGTTTGTGTTCGTCAGGTGGTTGAAGTGGTGCCTATGTCCTATAGAGACCCCTCCTCAAATTCCCCTCACGGAGGTGATGACCCCCTGAATCGGGGACCCCTCCTCAAATTCCCCTCACGGAATTGACGATACCCCCAAAATTCCCCTCATGGAGGCGATGACCCCCTGAATCGGGGACCCCTCCTCAAATTCCCCTCACGGAATTGACGATAGCCCCAAAATTCCCCTCATGGAGGTGGCTCCCCCTTCTCTGAGGCAAAAATCCCCTCAGGACCCCCCTGAATCGAGGACCCTTCCTCAAATTCCCCTCATGGAGGTGCCCCCCTGCTTCTCTGAGGCAAAAATCCCCTCAGGACCCCCCTGAATTGGGGACCCCTCCTCAAATTCCTCTCATGGAAGTGCGACCGCCCCTAAATTCCCCTCATGAGGGGACCTCACCCTAAAATTCCCCTCACGGAGGTGCCGCCCCCCTTCCCTGAGGCGAAAACCGCCTCAGGACCCCCTGAATTGAGGACCCCTCCCCAAATTCCCCTCACGGAGGTGCCCCCCTCTTTCTCTGAGGCGAAAACCACGTCAGGACCCCCCTGAATCGAGGACCCCTCCCCAAATTCCCCTCACGGAATTGATGACACTCCCAAAATTCCCCTCACGGAGGTGCCCCCCTCGTTAATTGGGGTGTCCCCCCTTCCCTGAGGCAAAAACCCCCTCAGACCCCCCTGAATTGAGGACCCCCTCCACAAATTCCCCTCACGGAGGTGCTCCCCCTTTCACTGAGGCGAAAACCCCCTCAGGACCCCCCTCAATTCGCTGCCCTCCCCCTTAATTCGCTGCTCCCCCTCAAATTCCCCTCACGCATCACCCCCCCCCCCCCCCCCCCCCCCCCCCCCCCCCCCCGCCCCCCCCACCCCCCCCCCC